GGGCGAGCCGGTGCCGTTGGACCTGACTCGGCCGTTGACCGTGCCGCTATCGGCCGCGAATGCATCCGACGACCGGCTGCTTTCGGGGCTGAAAGACGTCGACGGCGCGCGCTGGGTGGTCGCTTGGCACTTCACCGAACTGCTGTTTGCCGCCGACCGCTCGCGTCTCGGCGGGCTGCCGGGGTCAGGCGCGGGGACGTTAGGACTGGAGCACGCGTGTGTGTGTTGGCCGGAGACGCGGAGTCTGGGGAACGTTGTGTTGGATGCGGAGAAGGCTTTGATAGTGAAGGAGTTTCAGCAGAAGTTGCAGGAGTTGGTAGCGGAGCATGCGTTGGTTGCGAATCCGCATTTGGTGTTGTTGAACCCGCGAGCGTATCGACGGTTGCGTCCAACGGTGGCAAAGTGGATGGCGTTATTGTTTCATCAATTGCGATTGCCGGCGTTTCTGCACACGCAGATTGCGTCGATTTTGGAGGGTTCGGCGCGAGTTGACTTGGTCCAGCGCGTGGAGCAGGACCTGCGGCGAGACGTGGTGCAGTTGGTGAGTCTGGGCCGGCAGTGGACGCGGCATCTGGGCAAGCACTTGCTGAGCAAGATCCACCGCGTGCACTTCGGGCTGCTGCCGGACGCAGGTGCGGCGGTGTCTTTCGCGGCTGCTCGTGAGTATCTGGCTGTGCCCTTTGTGGGAAAGGACACGCCCAGCGACAACAGCGAGTTCGCTAATGTCGACTGTCTCATCGGCTTCACCATCGTCAGCTACCGCCTCAGCGGCATGCGCCCGCTCGACGTCGACCTCTGCCTCCTCAACCTCCAGGCACAACTTAAACTCGAACAGACGCGTCAGGGCCCGCGCGGCCCCGACGACGACGTCCTCCCCGCCATGCTCACCTATGTCCAGTGGGTTGAAAGCAGCGGTGGCCGCGTCCGCGGAGTCCACAAAATGCAGGACCTACTCGCCGTCACGCGCAGCTACGAAAACGCAGGCGCGGAGAACGCGGGCACGGAGAAGACCGGAGAGGCGGAGAAGACCGGAGAGGCGGAGAAGACCGGGGGGCGGAGAAGACCGGGGGGGCGGAGAAGACCTGGGGGGCGGAGAAGACCGGGGGGGCGGAGAAGACCGGGGGGGCGGAGACCGAGCGCCAAGAGGAGTGGTACGAGGAGATTGTGAGTGTGCTGCCGCTGGATGTGATTGACCCGGCGGACGCGTCGCATGTGGCGCCGATTCGGGCGTTGATAAAGTTCTCCCCGGCGGCGTGTTGTTACTTTTTGAGTCAGATTGTGTTTCCGGGTACCTTGAGGACTGCGCCGCATCAATTGGTGGCGAGTGGACACCATCTGGCGTCGAACACGATATTCGGTGCGAAGATCGGTTTTTCGGGTACGCCGAATAGTTTGTTGCCCCCGGAGTTGGGTGCATGCCAGTTCGAGGCAGGTGCGGATGGACAGATGTTCTCTATGTTGCTGTCGCCAACGGTTTCAGATGTGGAAGTGTTGCCGGATGCGTGGTCGCCGGCGGAGATTTTGCGTCGTTGCGGACAGGGTCGGGTTCACGCCTTGATTGACGTGGGAGCGTTGGTGACAGGTTATAGCAATGCGGAGGCTGCGGAGGTGTTGCTGGGTACGTTACCGTCTCGTTTTGTGGGTGTGTGTTTCTTTGGGCGCGGCGATGAGCGTACATTGTTATTGCGGCAAAGCTCGGCCGGTGGTCGTGCGACCGTGTCTATTGAGTCGACTGACATTACGCCTAATCGGCGGTTTACGTTTTATGACCAGACGCACGCGGTTGGTCAGGATGTGCATCAGGACCCGATGGCGGTTGCGTATTTGACGGTGGGCAAGGACAGCCAATTCCGGGACGTGGCGCAGGGTGCTTGGAGGCTCCGGCAGTTGGGTCGCGGACAGAAGGTGGTGTTGCTTGTCCCCCCGCAGATAATGCGGCGTGCGGAGAAGAAACGTTTGCTCTGGGCAGGTGCTGGCTCGCCGTTGCAGAAGGTTGTGAATTGGACGTTACACAATTCGGTCGCGCACTTTCGCGCACTCAAAATGCTCAGCGCCAAACAGAGTGCCGAACATCTCGTGGGCAGCCTCTTCGTGACACCATTGTTGCACGCGCGCTGCAGCGAATTGCTACAGGGCCCGCCAAGGGGACTGGAGAGCATCATCGGCCGTCTACTGGTGGAGGGCAACCGCAACGAGATTGCGGCCTCTCTCGTGCCGCAACACCTCACGTGGCTGGCGAGTTCGCGCATGGTCGTGCACAACGGACGCGCGCTCATGGACTGCCCCTTCGTGCGCAGCAACAACGCTCACGCCGGGCGCAAATGGGAACTGATCGAGCGTGAAATCGCCGTGCTCGAAGCGCGCTCCGCCGCCTTCAATGAGAGGCGCCGGGCGCCGACGAGTACGGAGGGGGCGAGTACGGAGGGCGCGGGTGAGAAGGTGTTTGCGGAGGCGCTGGAGTACTTCGACGACGACGAGAGCAGCGACCTGACGGACGAGGACGCGGAGTTCGTGGAGTTGGAGGCGGAGGTGGAGGCGGAGGCGGAGGAGGAGCTGGAGGAGGAGGAGGAGCAGGAAGAGGAGATTGAGCAGGAGGAGGAGCACCAGGTGGTGAACGCAGACAGCCGGCTGCAGACGAACGTGCGCTACAGCAGGCTGAAGGAGGAAGACTTCCGCTGGGACCTGCGGACGCTGAGTCGCTGGGTCGCGGTGCAGGTCGCGGACCCGCGGAGTGCGGCGCCGGCGTTTCTACAGGCGCGGGCGGCGTTCCGGCCGTTGTCGGAATGCGGTGTGTTTCTTAAGGCGGGTGGAGTGCTGAAGTTGGGCTTTCCGGAGGGTATGTGGTGTACGCGGAACTTCCACGCATTGGAGGCGGACGCGAGTACGCGACGGTTGCGGTCGGCGCTTTTCTTCCTGGAGGTGGGTTTCCGGCCGGCGGAGGCAGTGGCCGGAGAGGCTGGAGGGCAGGAGGCTGCCCGGAGGTTGGAGGAGAAGAACAATCAACACATGGTTGCCGTCCAGTTGCTCTTCCTGCACCTGAAGGAGTCGCAGGCCTCGCAGACGGTGAGCGAGCAGTCCGTGTGGTCGCTCATGTACCTCCTGGGCATCACCGATGACTGCAATGGTCCGCGTCTCACGGACGACAGTTGTGAAAGCCAGCTGTACCTCAACTGTATTCAGAAGGTTGCTCGCGCCCACCACACCGGTCAGCCCAAACGATGGACGGCCGCGGAGCTCGTCAACTTCCTCTTTGCCGAGTTCAGCATTAACGAACTCCTCGGCGGCAAGGCCGTCGACCAACTGCCCCAGTCCTCCGTCTTCGGCGTCAACCGGAAACACCTCGTCCTGCTCCTCAGCATCAGAGAAGCTGAAATAATCAGAGCAACCCTCCACAAGGCCAGCCACTCCCCGCAAATCATGGAGAAACTCTACGGATTCAGGCTGTGCCTCCGCTCTACCATCGATCAGAACCGCGTCCTGGACGTGCCTAACATGGCCCTAACTGACGACAAACTCAGTCTACAACGAGCAATTTATTTCAACGCCATAAGACTGCTCAATGGCCAAATCGTAGGATTCGCACATGGCGAAACACGGGGCAACAAACGTGGGGGGTTTGACGGACGAGTGGTTTTGTAGAATTTCAAGGGGCGGGAGTTGCCCCTGATTCAGCAATTTACCAAGACTGCAGACGAGGGTGTGTTGGTTGCGTGGTTGCAAGAGAACGGGGCGCGGAGGCGACGCGTGGCGTTGGCGGAAAGTGCGTTGTCAGTGTTTAAGCGGCCGGAAGGTGGAGTCCTGGCGCGTCGGCCGGGGGTCACCCCTCAGGACAGCGGCCGTGCAGGCATTGCAGTGGTGGCTAAATTGCTACGGGCCGTGGCGCAGAACCGGATGTTGTCGGCGCAGGGCGTGCTGCGCGAGTTGAGGACGCTGCAGAACCGCGCCACGGCCAGTCTCACACGGCGGTCGGCTGTCGATGGCGAGGATGAGGACCCTGCTTCCCCCACCGTCACCATCGGCACCCTCATGGTATGGATGAAGCTCAACGGCGTCGAATACATCGACACCACCGACATCCAGGGCATCGCCATCGCTTTGAATACTCACTTCAACGGCACCTGTGTGCACGAAGCTGGCCTCGGCAAATTGCTGAACTGACACAGCCGCGATGAGTGGGCTTCTTCTTCTCCACCATATTTTCGTGTGGTGCGATTGGATTGGGGGGGG